AATTGACTAATACATTTTTTAAAAGTGACTAAAATTGATAAATGCATTTTTGAAGTTGACCTAAAATTGATTCAGTATTGAATCAATTTTTTCAGTATTGAATCAATTTTAGGTCAACTTCAAATTGAAGTCAAATATAAAACAATTTTTTTTTCTGAAATAAATCAAAATAAAATAGTTAATGTAATAATAAAATATGTTTGTTTTTTCTTACTGTCTTTCTGAATATCTTTACTCAATATATATACCTTTGCAAATACCCCCGAGAGTATAATAAACAGTATAAACGTTATGTAATATAATATATACGACACGCCCACAACATTCCTTCTGGCACAACACATTAATAGTTTATATATAATACAATTATTTACACTAATTACAACACCCTTGATCTCTAGATCACAAAGTCCGCATACTTATTTGGAAACTTCCGCACACGTGTCGATCTTCTGAGATTCAGGTTGTTCGCGGTGGGTTCTTCCAGTTCTCTCGTTGACAAGTCAGCTACAATGGGAGCTGGACGGACGTCCGACATGTGTCTCTGCAATCCATTGATTTCTACCGAAACTCTTTGTCCTTCATCTGAGACTCTTCCTCTATTCCATTCGCTAGTACATTTTGAATCAGGTGGTTTTACAAATACTTCTTGTCCTTGTGTGTAGTTGTGGAGAACTTCCTTGTTAGTTTTGGCAAAAATTGTGTGTGGTTTCCACTCATAGGAAAATATAGCTTTGTAGGGGAGCGATGTTTCCTCGCCATTTTTTCTGGGAGCTACGTTATACCAATATACCATTTTTAACGGATCTTTGCCACTTCTTGCTGCCATTTGCTAGATTGTTCAATGGTGACGTTCAACAATTCCATTTCCAGATGGCCTGTAAGTGCAACGAAACAGTATGGACACTCCCCATTCTGCGCATAATTTACCAATGAGTTTTGAGCGAAAGGTCTTGCTTTTGTCAAAAAGAACTTGCCACAGAGGTCCTCTTTCTCGAAATATTTCTTCTAGATGGAAACACATTGTTGCTTCTTTCTCGTTTTGTAGCTTCCTCCAAATTGCAAATTTGCTCCTTTTGCCACAGTCAATAATAGACAAATAAATCTCTGATTTATAGTGGATAACGTCAATGGCTAAACGGTACTAGCTCTTTCCAACTTCAAGATTTCCTTCTTCCCATCTGATTGGAGCAGGATCTACCGATAAACATCTTTTGCAACTTTTTACGACTGATTCAATGTCTTTTCTACAAACTTCCTTCGGATATGTCTGTTTCATCAAATAAAGGGTTTAATTTACTCCAAAGTGATGAAGATTATGAAACGACTTCACATCAGGTGGTACGAGATTTGCTGTCATTGCAGAATGGTTTGAATGCAGCCAATTCTGTGGTACCCTTGCAAGAGCATCAGCTTTATTTTCTGCTGACTTAACCAGGAAAAGTTTTTATTGTATACCGCACTCCTTCACAAGGTCCTAAATTAACGACAACCGGCGACGGACAAGTGGTTCTCCAAGACCGTGTACTCGAATCGGTTTGTCACCGATGATTAAAGATTCCAACCAGCCAACAACAGTAGTCGAGTCACACTTTATGGTAATACATTCGAATCCCCATTTTGTTGCTAGATTGATTCCTTTTATCACAGCTTCTAACTCTGCAAGGTTAATGTTAGCCACATCATCTTGTTTTCTCAGCCACGAGCAGTCTTCTACTATTTCCCCAGCCACTTCCAAAACTATGCCAACAGCTAAACTGCTTGCATCGCACCACACTGTTGCTTCAGAAGTGTTTTTTACGTTCCATGATACATGAACGGGATCTTCCTTTGTAAGTCTTTCATTTAAACTACTTACTAATTTGACAACACAATCGTTCACCAAAGTGTCCCATCCACAACTACTCGAAACCCTTTTTAGATAGCTGCACGAAGGGCGCAACCAATTTGCTATTGGAAAATGTCCAGTCAGCTGTCCACACCAAGAAAAGATTTGCCGACGCGTCATTTTTTCTTCAGGAACTTTGGGTGTTTTGTCACGTTTCCAACGCACTTAGTTCTTTTGTTTGTACACTCGCAATCCAAGCACACGCCCACCAACAAGTTTTTCTGGCAGCTTAGAATCCAAGCCATGTTTTTTCAAGAGTTCTTGAACTCTACAACTTGACATTATGTTATTATTGACAATGATGTCATCAATAAATGAATCCCTCCCAGACTGGACAACTTTGTCTAAGGATAATACCTTTTTTAAAATTTTTGTCATTATTCTAGGCGCCACATTTAAACCAAAACCCAATCCTGTTAGACAGTATCGCTGCTCTTCATATTCCTCAACTTGATATTTCCATATTGCTTCGTCGACACAAATCTGCAGGTACGCTTTTTTTAAATCGATTATCTCAAGATTTTCTCCCAACTTTCTCCAGTTGCGAAGTTTGGTACTGCAAACATCGCCATCTGCAGTCTGACTGGATACAAATTGATTCAGCTTCCGGTAGTCCATCACCGGACGTACATTTCATTTGTTTCGTTGAATTACTGCCATCAACGGAATGATGCCATTACATTTCCCTTCAAATGGTTTCAGCCATCCCTGTGCTATCCATTCACTTATTTCCATTGCGTACTCACTTTTAACGTCTTCAGAGATGTGATAGTTTAGAATTTTGTTTGTTAAAGTTGGTGGTTCCATCAGCCATTTCCAAGACACGCTCCAGCTGCCATTTTTGAATTCTGCTACGAAGTCTTTATTAATCAGTTTTTGAACAGTAGGCATGGATACTTCATTCGTTTTTCCTTGAGAGACTGCAGTAGCGCCGATAGTTAGTTGCTTCACATTAAAGTTTATGGTTTCGTCGTCTCTCCCAACTTGGACACCTCCGAGCAGTCGTATTGCGTCTATACCAAGTAGCATTAGATATTCGGGAACAATGTTTGCAACCAGGCATTCCAACTCGATGGTGGTATCATTTATAGAAAGATTAACAACAGTCTGGTATTGTACTTCTATTGACTTTCCGTTCATCATAACAACCTTTTCGCTTGCATGTTTGACATTTTTTGGATTTACAATATCCCGACTTGAAATTGATTTGGAGCATCCAGATCTAACAATGCTTTTATTTTTCTTTCATTGACATATGCGCGGAGAGTTGGCGGTTTTAAATTTTGTAGGAAGCCGCTCGCACAAAAACGGGTGGCTTCCCTTCCACGTTTTTTGAGTTCGTACACCTTTTATAGCAGTACTGGGCCAGGTGATTGTTCATTCCACACACAAAGCACCTCTTCTTCTCAATCTCTTTGCTGCAATTTTGACTGATATGTCCATCCTCACCGCAACGGTAGCACGTTATGGTCTTTTTTCCGCGTCTTTTAGGAACCTGTCTTGAACTGATGGCAACCGGATTTACGCAACTGACAAAACACGAATCTTTGCGACGTAAAATTACCAAACTTCTAGATTTTTCAGCGATCTGGCACAGCAACATTGTTGATATTGAGGATGCAGTTGGCAGCTTTTTTCTTGCTTCGTCAGGTAATCCAAGAATAAATGCGCACCTTATCCACTCTTCGCTTACATGAAATGATATTAGCTTGCTCAGTCTTGTTAATTCTGCGAGATATACGTCAACAGACTCATTCTCTTCAAGACGGCGATTTACGAACTCTTTGTATGCTGTTAGCGGAGAAGCATAGAAGACAGTAGTCAGTGCAGTTTTCACTTCATTGTAGTCATCTTTTATCTCATCACTTAAGCCTTGATAAACGGAAAATGCCCCACCAGAAAGAAATAAGGGAAGCACCACATGCAGGTCGTCAATTTTTTGAAGTTTCGCTACCAGTTCCAATTTCTGTATCCATTCTGAAAAATCACCTGAACCATCGTATTGTGATACCAGATCCGCAAACTTTATAACAATACTCATTGCCGAAAAAGCTTGTAATAATAAAATATATTTGTTTTTTCTTACTGTCTTTCTGAATATCTTTACTCAATATATATATATACATTTGCAAATACCCCCTAGAGTATAATAAACAGTATAAACGTTATGTACAATAAAATATATACGATGCGCCCACAACATTCCTTCTGACGCAACACGTTATGGTTTATATATAATACAATTATTTACGCTAATTACAGTTAAGTAATTTTTGCTTTTGATAAGTTAATATCATACTAATTTAATATTAATGCAACAATCTAAAAATTAATATCATACTCATTTAATATTAATGCAACAAAACAATATCAAAGCTGTCAACAGGACAGCTTTGATATTGTTTTGTTTCCAGGCCTCAATGGTTTTAGTAACTCCTTAAATACTTGTTCTATATTAAAAAGTCTATACAATCACATTTACAATGTGGTTGTATAATATCTATACGATCTACTGCTATTTGTGCAATAACATTTACAATGTGATTTTATAGATGACATATAGGTTCTAGAGCTTCACAATTTAATTTTTCCCAAGTCAGCTTGAAATGTCCCTGTATGAAAATATTTATAAAAATCATATGACAAAATTCACAGCTTTTATTACAAGTGCTGCCATCTTCAAGTTGAGGTTGGAAACTTTTTAGACCACCCTCACAGTTAAAATAATAAATGATATTGTTGTTAAATGAACAAATAATAAATTTTAAAAAAGTTTAATAAAAAGATACAAGGGTGTTAAGATTATTACTTGATTAAATCAAATTTTAGTCGATTAGTAGGAATTCTAAATTGATTTTAAGTCTACTAAATTGACAATTTGATTTTACAAAGTCAACTAATTTTGACTAGTCGAAAGTCAAAATTAGTTGACTTTGAAAAATCTAATAGTCAATTTAATCATCATTGAAAAATCAATATCAATTTTTGAGTAGTCTAATTTTGTTGTTGATGATGATGATGATGATGATGATGATGATGATGATGATGATGATGATGATGATGATGATGATGATGATGATGATGATGATGATGATGATGTGTATTTTTTTAGTTGACTCATGTTGGACCGCGTCTTATTCCCTTCTTCAAAACAGTGGTTATATATTTTGTTGCTTGGTTGCCTGCTGAAACTCCTTCCTTATTTGCAGCTGCGCTGAAGTGCTTACCAATATGCTGTTTAATGGGATTTGTTATCAGTCAAGGACTCAGTTTGCAAAAAGAACATTTTTATAGGCAAAGAATATTTATTGGCCTGCTATTTTCTTGTTTTGGTGATGCTTTATTAATATGGGGTGAAACATATTTTCTCCAAGCCATGGGAGCATTTGCTATTGCACATTTAGCTTATATAAGTGCATTTGGATTTTCCTCTTATCGTTGGTTAAAAGGTATACCGTTTTTCGGAATGGTTTTAATTTCTCTGTATCTATTTTATCCTCGACTACAAGGTTTATTACTGCCCTGTGTCTGTGTTTATGTTTGGTTAATTTGCTCAATGGGTTGGCGTGCATTTGCAGCTATTGATATTCTTGGTAATGTATGGTCATGGACAAGTCTTTGTGGAGTGCTTGGTGCTACTTTTTTTATGCTTTCAGATTTTATAATTGGATTTGACAAGTTTGTAGCGCCTGTTCCCATATCCAGATTATTAATAATGTCATCATACTATATTGCACAATTGTTCATGGCAATGTCTGCTGTTAACAAAACAAATATAAGAATCAGAATGAAGAAGAATAATTAAAGTTTTTTATAAATTATATGTCTCTATAATAATTATTATTAAACAATTTTCTGTAAAGTAATAAAAGGATTCGTCTGACCATTTGCTAATTTATTGTTTATTTTGAAATGTGATATTTGCAGACAAACTATTTTTTAATGTATGTTAATTAGAAGTATTTAAAATATAATTTTATAATAGTCATTAATATACAAGTATTTAAAATATTTTATAAATATAGATATATATATATAAATAAATATATATATTTATATATATACATATATATATATATATATATATATATATATATATATATATATATATATATATATATATATATATATATATATATATATATATATATATATATATATATATATATATATATATATATATATATATATATATAAACATAAGAAAGTACCTTTTTTAAAACATTTTGTTTCCAAGATTAATTCATATTTAGAGTATTATTCATACGGTGTTGCAATCAAGAATTTTTTCATTAGTCTAAGGAAAATGTCGGGCTTTTGTAATTCTCAAAATTTTTCTATCGAATGGTTCAAAGTTTTGTAAAAATGAAAAACGATTGATTGATTGAAAGAATTTTTTAAAAGCTTTCATAGATATAAATTAATTAAAATATAGTCCGTAAAAACAGTCTTTAAACAAAATATTACTTTTACCAGTATAAAATGGTATTTATTTTTTAATTTTTTTTGTTTACCGTATAAAATCTATATGCTTTAATTCTTTTAAGTTTATATCAAAAAAGCATAGTTAATATATTTTTATATTATTGGTTATGTATGTATATATTTCCATTGAATGTATTGGTTGCTGTTATTAATTATTATTTATGTATTTAAGCGATTTTGTTAGAAGAATTATTTTAACTTTTTTTGCTTCTTTTTAATTTAATACATAGTGCTATATCTAAATGTGTGTACACTGTCCTCCAAAACATTAGTAAAAAAGATTGACCAAGAGTGGAAAAAATTCAGAGAAGCGACAAAGAGGAAACATGAGGAGAAGATAGTCTCAATAAGTTCTGTTCGTTCAACTCCCTTAATCCTTCTTTTCTCTTAATCACCACCTGACAAATTAAAAAACTAAAAGTCAATTTTTGACCAAAGTCCTTAGAAATCTTTAAATCAACGTTTTCTGGGCATCTACATCAATGTGAAAATAACCAGGCCCTAGGTGGAATAACTGTTTTCAAATTCAGAAACCTCAAAGCAACATACTAAAATCCTGATTTTTCTTCAATGTGAGTCGTGTCTTAATGTCATTCTTAATGTTAGTGAGGAGTTGTGTCTTAATGTTAGTGAGGAGTCGTGTCTTAATGTCATTCTTAATGTTAGTGAGGAGTCATGTCTTAATGTCATTCCTTATGTTAGGAGGGAGTCGTGTCTTAATGTCATAATGTTAGTGAGGAGTCGTGTCTTATTGTCACTCTTAATGTTAGTGAGGAGTCGTGTCTTAATGTCATTTTTAATGTTAGTGAGCTCACTCATGAGGAGTCGTGTCTTAATGTTAGTGAGGAGTCGTGTCTTAATGTTTGTGAGGAGTTGTGTTGAAGATTAAAGTTTAATATCAAGTTTATTTTTAATGATACGATATCATAAAAATGATAATGAAGTAAATTTTCTAATGTGAAAATGTAATTTTATTTTGCACCACCGATTCCAATAACATTTTTAAGCTAATTTTGAGAAATGCTGCAGTACCTGAAAATTCTGTATTTTTAAGTAGGGATAAAGATCGAGAGGAGCACCACTTTGAAAATGAAGTTCATTTTTCAAAATTTTGTTAAAATATTGGCATTACTCCATTATTAGAGCTAAGTCACTACCTCGACACGTAAAATTAAAATAAATTCCACTTGTTTTAGACAATGAAAACGACGACTCTTATTTCAATAACAAGAATAGCCTTTAGGGAATTAAGGTATAAGACCCCTCAAAAAAATTTTTATTAAAGAAATCTTTTTTACAAAAAACCAAGTATATCCTGAGAAACAACTATATAACTGGATTTTAAAAAATTCAAACTAAAAATTATTAGTTGCCATGGTTACCAAGTAAAGTAACAGACATTCAAAAATGTTTAGGCCATCCCGGCCATTCTATCTCAGAAAACGAAAGCATATAGGATATAATTTTTTGGCATATGATAGTAATCTACAAACTGAGCTAAAATTGTTCTAAAAAACAAAGTATTTAAGCTATGATCATGTTTTCAAAATGGTTATTTAAAAGAATACATTTTTGTGAACTAAATCTTCTAAAACTCCTAACAGTATTGTAAAACTTTTGGTTCCAAATGTACAACTTGATGAAACAAACATATGGTGAAAATTTTATGCAAATCTGACATACTGTTAATGAGATAGGATGGCCGGGAGATTAAAAATTGACAATTTGAGAAAAAAGCATTTTAAAATTATATTACCAATTTTACCAATTAAAAATGTCAAATACTCAATTAGAAATCTGTTATTTATAAGAACAAGATCCAGGATCATATAGACAACCTTCTTGGTCATTCTCTGCATCTTTTTTTTTTTTTTTTTTTTTTTTTTTTGCATCGACGGATAACTTGTCGTCACTTTTTAGATATTGGTCGATTTTGATACTCTGTGAAAATTAAATACTTTTTGTTTATCTTGAAGAGTATATAAATCAGGAATCATATTCAATTTTTCAAATAAAAGTATGCTTGCTTTTCTTCCAATATTAAAATTTGAAAGAGCATCATATACGCATAACTACAACTGAGTTAACAATACAAATTTATTTTAGGCATGCGCTGCCATATCATCACGTTAAAATTCATTTTAGTTTTGCGTCTTAATAAGAAGGTAAAAAAAAAGATTGATAGACCAGCACCTAGCTTGTAAGTAGATGTTAAATTAGCTTTGTCCTGTTTATAATAGCACTAATTATGTATACAATCAGGGCGATAAGTATGCCAATTGTTTTCAGCTGATGATGCAACATGGAACAATATTTCAAGTATGGTCTTTTTCATACCTTCTAATCATTATCATTTTGCCTAACAGCAATTCAACAGTAGTTTTGTAAGCAGTCAATTATAGCATTCGTTAATTTGCCTTTGCATCCTTTTGCGACAATTTTAGCACAATCAGAAACAAATAATTTTGTTGTAATTATTTTTAGTCATAGGTTTAGGAATGTTCATTAAAGATGTTAACTTTTTTTATGCACACATTAAATAAACAATTCTATTATTTACATCAAAAGTTTTTTTTCCCAGCACATGTCTTTAAAATATAAAATTCAATTTTTTCATTGCAGTTAAAGCAGCAAGTATTTAACATTAAGCTGATTCCTTTTTTTTTAGAAAAACTTTCTGAATAATTTAATTTTGATTGTAATCTTTTTTTGCACCATAGTTGATTAATTACACCAGACAAAATGTCAATATTATTAATTCAATAACCAAAAGTTTTAGTTTTATTATGCTGAGTTGTCTTAATTTTCTCAAACTTTTTTTTGGGATATAAATAAATTTAAGGAAGTGCTACAAAAAATATGATCATTTTCATAACTATTAACAGGAGCAACTGATAAGGTTGAATCAATTGGTAAAGTTTTAGTGTTTTTATTTCCATGAAATTTTCTGGATTTATTTCTTTGAGTACTTTTTTTGACTCTACATGATTTACCCATTGTTTAAAAAGTTTTTTAAATAACAAAAAAATAACAAAAAAATCTTGCAATTCTGATTAAAAACCCGTTGCTATGCGTGTTGCTAAACAGATCAAATTTACCCAGTTGAAGAAATTGACTTATATCTCAAGAACTAAATCTTACTTTGAGAAATGGTTTTCAAATTCGAGTTTAGCGATAAATTTTGTGTCAGAATTACACAAATTTTTTTTTTTTGATTTTTTTAATGATTTTTAAGAGGTCTTACACCTTAACAATGCCTGCCTCTATTGCTCCAGTGGAGCGTATCTTGTACCACTAAAGTATAATACTACGGCTGTGCTTTTATGTCTGACCAACTGTTAACTAATTTGTTCTTTTGCAAATGCAATATATCATAAAAACGTGTATTAAGATTAAATAATATGAATAAAATTAAAACTTTTATTGATTGTCATATAAACTATGCAAATAGTATATGGGGAAGCACCCACAAGACAAAGCTTAAATCTCTTTACCTTCGTCAGAAACACGCAGTTCGCGTAATAAATGTTAAAAATCGGTTTTCTCACACAAAACAACTTTTTAAGGAAATGAATATTTTGAATGTATACCAACTAAATTTTTTAAATACTTTGTGCTTTATGTTTAAATGTAGAGAAAATCTGTCACCAACTGTATTTAAAAATTTTTATAATTTGAAACCGAAAAACAAATATAATCTTTGCACTAACAACAATCTTATTGCCCCCTTTTGCATTCAAAAAATATATCAATTTTTTGTTTCTTATCGAGGACCTTATTTCTGGAACAAAATAGTTTTACCAAATTTTGATTTTTCTATTAAAATGGCTTATGCTTTATTTGAACAGAAACTTAAAAAGATTATCCTTTTATTACAAAATATTTTCATCTATTTTTAACTATTTTTGTATATTGTTTTTTTTAGACTAATATTTACTAAGTTTTTTATAAAAAGATATATTATTTCATTAAGAACAGTTTATTTCTAATTAAAGTTATATTGAAAAAGTGTAAATGTATTATATTTTTAAGGGCTTCATGATAAAATCCTCATGATGTTCTAGAAGTCCTGCCGTTGTTGCTGCCAAATGTAAATGTAAATATAAGAATCACTATCCTCCCTTGACTCTCCTAACAACGAAAATAAAATACAAGGGTAAAGACGTACATACAACATCCCTTGATAAAAAAATGAACAATTTAACTGCAATAGCTAGAACGTTTGACTATCATGTTATTGCTGTCTCCGAAACATGGTTTCGATATGACTCAGTTCCTAACATTGATGGGTATAATTTATATCGCAAAGATAAACTACAAAAAAAAAAAGAAAAAAAAAAAAAAAAAAAAAAAAAAAATTGGTTGTTAATGTATTTGTAAACGTGTTTTGGGTAGTTCTGAGATTTTGATATAATTTCTTTTTCATGTAATATTTTTGCTTTAAATATTTTCGCTTTAACGGAACGATTAAGATGATTGGAATTTGTTTTGAGAT